GGCTAATATTATCCCGAGCCTCCACCAAGCGCTGACGCTTTTCTTGTTCCAAGATACGAGTGGCCTCTGCGCGAAGAGCTGTCAATTGCCCAGCAGTAGACATCGGGAGGGGGTAAACCTCCCCAGCGTTAATCCCAGGAAGCAAGACATTGGAACCTAGCTTGAGCCGGAACCTAGCTTGAGCCGTATCCCTTCGAAATCTGGATTCAATAGAGATAGCTCTTCGTAAAAAACCTCGGAATCAAGACAAGCAACCACATAATCATCGTTGGTGATGTAATGCAAGACCAATCGCTCGTGCCAGAGGGTCGGGCCCAGCACGTCGTAACACACCAAAACTTGTCTATTCGCCAGCAAGCTTTCGGGATCTTGCACGGACCTCGGCAATCTGCTAAAGCGCTAGTTCCCTCCTCCAATTTGGCGAAGGGGGTATTGATCTATTTAATAATTGATTTATACCTAGCCTTTAAATATCCCATATTAATACTAACAAAAATGATGCCCAAATTCCATTTATATTTATAAAATCGATTATTACTACATTATTCCTATTTATACGATTCGCTACAAATCTCAACAAATATACGAACAATCTCTTCCACCAAACTTCAAACAAAAAAACATCTCATTTACCCAATAAATATCGCGCCAAAAATCCCACTACATCCCACAACACACTAAAATACGGGAGCCCAACAAAAACCATAATCCCATAAATGCCACAACCCCTTTACCCTTAAATATCACATCAATAACAATCTACATTAACCAACTCCGTCGCACGCACAAATCGGCATATATTGGTTAAACTAAATCGACCGGCTCCATCGCATACACGGATCTACATAAATTAAATCGACCGACTCCGTCGCACTTAAAGTGGTGCAGGGGCCGGCGCTCAAACGCATTTCTCCTAGGCAGATCCACAGAGTGCAGAGCGGCTACGGAAAACACCAAATCCATGAAAGTGCAATGAACGTGTGACTGCCCTTTCAACTCACCCCGGGATCCCCGGTTTGTAGGGCCCGGTCTGCACGGACTTTGGCTTTGTACAGTTTCTGGCTTCCACGCTGTTTTTCGCGTTGAGCCTGCCAAATGGGATCTTCTTTCAGGCTCCAAGTGTTGGAATTCATGTAATCGAGTAACACGTGGTTGTCCTTGTCTTTGGTCAGCCCGTCAGACAACTGCTGCGGGCCAGGCACCCAGCGACACATGGCATGGTTGGAGTCATCCAGGAGGGATTCCTTGATGGCCAGTAGGTCAAGCGCTGTCCTACGATCCTGGGTAAACTTTCTGAGGCCAGGGTGTCGTATGCGGTCTTGGCGTCCAAGACCAAAAGCAGTTCCCACCCTCGAACAAACTCAGCCCAGCGGCGCACTTGGAAATTCTCCTGGAGAATCTCTCCAAACAAAGCCCGAACATACTCACAACTTGTGGCCGAGGAAGGATTCTTGGAGAGCACACCACATTGTAGCCCGCAAAAACCATCGACCAAATGAGTCACATTCCATCGCACCCCTTCACTATCCAACAAGAAAAAGGAATCGGAGGACACGTGTTGGTTAAAATGCTCTGGATTGGTTGCCGACGACTTGGGCATTGAAGTTGGTGGATGGATCCGACTGCACACCTCACAACGCAAGTCCTGCGCTGCTTGAACAACCTATTTGGTGGCACCGTTCAACTTCAGCATCCGAGCTAGTCTATCATTGGAGGGATGCCCCAAGGTACCATGTAACTTGGCCACCTGATTCCGGATGACCTTGTTGACCCTCAGTGAAGCCCAACAAAACGAACATAGCCATAACGGCTGCCCACTCCCGAATAGTCGCCACGGCGCTGATCTTCTTCTTAATGAAGCCGTCGGAACAGATGATTGATGGCTACCTCTGTCTTCAGCTCTTCTGCCCCGGGTGCCTGATCCAAACACTCCTCCTCTAGTTCTTGATCAGCGGCACTGGATGCCGCAAAGGCTAAATGCTCATCAATTTGTTCGACAAGTGGGGGGGGGTTCACAAATATGAGTCACAAAGCATTGATTGCACCAACCCCCTTTACAGGTGTCACACCAGCGCTCTCCCAGTTCATAGCATCCCGCCGAGTCACACGGAGCAGCCGACGATGGTCTGGACAAGAAACACTCGCCTCCATCCCCCTTGTCGAAGCGGGTGACAAAGACATGAGCACCATGCTCCCGCTGATGCCAGTAGCCAGCTTGAGACAGGGCCAGCGCAGCACAGGCTGCCAGTATATGGCGGCCAAACTGGGGTGTCTAGGTGCCTGCCACCAAGGAGCGATTCATCCACTTGCCATGGGCAAAGACCTGACCTTCAATGGTCTGATGGGAGTGATTACGATCACCCAACGAGCCCTGCATCAAAGCTGCAACGAACACAGGAGATTTGACGTCCAAGGCACTGCGCTTCTGAAAAGGTAAATGAGAACATGGGTTTTGCAATCCAAACATGCACTGATCTACAACGGCTCTGTGTACACTTGGTCTTTGAATCATACAATCTAATTTCAATGCCATGCTGCGAAAAGGTTGCTCCAACAACACAAAACGACCGGCACGATATTATTTCTTCCAGACAACTGCACAAAATTCCCAAAAAGGCATATGCAACATTCGTTTGAAATGAACAACTTCTTGGGGATTGAGTGATTGTAGAGAGGACCAAGGGCCGCACGGCGATTCAAGACACACAAGATCCGGTTCCCACTCATCAATCTGTTGCAAGATCCGTTTTCGTTCTTTGGGATCCAGAACATCAGATCCATAGAGTAAGTCGACAGGCTCCAAGGCACACCATTTCCCAGTGGAGCGGGCTATCAGCGACAATGCTGCACTGCCTCCAAAGATCTCTAATACACGCCAAGTATGATCTGTTGATTTGTGAGCAATAAAAGCCAAATGTTGTAAAACAGATGAATAACACTTTGCACCTCTCTTCAACACTTGAACTTGACTGCGCTTCCACGGCGTTGCTCTCCTCGGCTCTGAACCCCGTTCGCTACTGCCTCACCCCTCACTTCAGCAGCGGCGGACCCCGAGGGCCGCTCAAGGTCTTCATGCCCCCAAATGGCCGCCACCTCCTTGCTCATCATCATGGCCAGCCAGCGAGGATGGCGTTTCCAAGGGAATTCGTAGGATTCCATGGCCACTCGGGAGCGCAAGAGCCACACCAGCTGCTTCCATTTGTGCACCACCAGCCGGCCGTGCAGCACCCAGCTCATGTTGAATACTACATCGTGGCTGCGGGTCATTCCCAACACGGGAAAGTCCGCATACTGGCCGGTGATTTCCAAGCGGATCTCCTTCTTGTCCTTGGTCTTGGAATTGACGTTGGTTTTGCTCTTCGGCTCGGACTTGACTTTAATTGCCCTTGTCGAGGCAGCTAGCGCACTCTCCATCGAAGCATCCAAGCGAGTCCCGGCCGCCTGCTTCCGATGCGGCTGCTGTGGTTGGATCTCCTCCGCCTCCTCGTGCCTTGCAGAAATGGACCCATCCTACGAAGTACAGGAAATACACTCTCTAAAATCATCTTGTTCTAGGCCGCTGCAAGTACCATAACACGATCCTTCAAGGTCAGCTCGGCGTAATCCAAGATATAGCCCATAAGGAAGCGGTCACCGACAGCAAATTAGGCATCCTCTTCTTCCATAACCGACCGTTGTGCCTAAAACTCCCCCGATTAACGACGGCAACGGAGAAATTCCCGCTAAGCTTTCTCACCCCATTACCCATCTAACTCCTTAACCAGCGGAGACGCTTCCAACGCCTTAAAGACCAAAGGTAAGCCCCCAAATTTGCTCATTTCTTTAATTTTAAGATATCTTATAATCACGTTTGCTCTTCCCTTCAAAACCGATAGACACCGGGAGCCCATCACATCCTCGGGCAACTACCCGCCTTCCCCAGCGATCCAGCACTAGACCGCGCGCTTCCAGTAAATATAAGACTCATCCCCATTAGCTAAAAAGGAGGGTGGATACATAGAAGGGATTTTCCGATATAATTAAGAACTCTTCTAATTTCCATTACTCCCCAAACCCGACCGACTCGAATCCGAGAAGCATCCATCAACAGCGGAGGTCACATTAGGCTCATTATCATCCGCCGCCATATTATACAATTCCCAAGATCGTATATTAATAAATTTATGTAGATTTGTATACGCGGTAATTAAAAGGGTATTTATATGTTTATTACACTTTTATAGATTTGGTGTTTTTCGTATCCATTTTGCATTTTATAAATTAATTTGCCTAAGAAAAATATGTTTAAGCGCCGGCCCCTACACCACTTTAAATAATAACGGATTCTAACACTTAATCGGGCTTTATTCTTGTAATTTTAACTATAACGATCGAAGAGGCTTAGCGATTTAAGAAGCGTCGACTTCCGAATAATACGGATACAATAACGGAAATTATCGAGGAAAATAATATAAAGGTAGAATAATCGCAAAGTGCTATAAGTTCCTATTAAATAAAAGCTAATTACCTAAATAAATAAGGATAAGATAGGATCTTTTAATTCGTTGTTATTAACTAATCCGTAAGCGTAGGGACGCGATAACGAACACTAGGTTTAAAAAGAGCGATTATGTAATGGGGCTCATAGAGTTGGTATAAGCCGCAATCATAATAATTTTATCGATAGAGTTAACCGACCTCATAACATAAGACGGAGTGATTTAGTTAACATAAAGGCTAGACTAAAAACGATCGTGTTCCGGGTAATAGGTGTTCGTAGTTACAATTTCCCCCCCCCATCGTCATATATTTAGTCTATATGTTAATGGCCATGTCGATAAAAAATCGAGTCGCAATCAATCCAACCGCATAGCCACCAGGGCCTCACCAAATATATTTATCTATATCAATATTGTTCAAAAACGATTATAATAATTAATATATTATCGAAATAAATATTAAAATTAAATATATATCGAATATATAATCGAAAATCAAATTTTATTAAATATAATAATATATTTATGATTATTTGACCCAAAAGCTCCATTAGTTCTGTACAGGAAGCTTTCCTGATTCCTGGCTTGCTAATTCAGGCCGTGAATCGATCAGGTCTACCAGTCTATTTATCGTTGTCATGATTGACATGCATCCAAGAGGATATTGATGATGACGTTCCTCAGGGTTTTCGCGCGGTAGCTTTGAAGCCAGCTTCCTTACAGCTCGTTCATGTCCAAATAGCACTGCATATGTGTTCCGTCCTACAAGAAACCCGAACCTATGCTATGATACGGAATCTGCCACCACCCTTGAATATTTCGACACTTGGCCTTGGCTCATTGTGTACTCAGCCGCCGCAGTCTCACTGACTTTCTCCCAGTCTCCGAAGCTGTTTGCAGAATGGACTTGGCTGGTGTGGTTCACTTGTTGCCAGCTGCTTCCACTGAGAGCTCCTGCAGTGCTTTCGATGCGCTTCATTCTCGAGGAGCTGATAGGTGTGAGACCCAGCTTCTTACCTGCAGAGGCATTAAGACACAACAAACCTCAAGTTCCTCAAGCTTCACAAGTGCCAAAACACAATTTCCGACAGCGGTGTCTAGGAATCAAGAAATAACATTGTTTGATGCAATGCAATTGGTTGCAGGCTTGCCCACAGCGGTGCGCACGCAAGCAGCGCAAGTACCCACTCGTTCCCAAGTCGCCTGCACCATACCTCGTCAAAGCTTGGCTCCCCTCACATCATGTCTCCAGGTAATTGGAAATAATAAACTACGTGGCTTTTCCCGTGGAAACAAACACCTGGCTTTTCAACTATAGATGTAATCGCATGACAAAATCTGCAAAAGAAGGACAAACATGGAAAAAACAATCTTAACAACGAGCGGAAACACTCCCGTGTGAGGGACAACACTTGCGGGTCTGTGAGGAGCACCTCAGACTCTCTGGCAACACCTTGTAGATCTGCAACGATGAAGTGACCACCAGACTCTTCGAAGGAAAAGTGCAAAAATGATTGAACGGCGTCATTGTGAAGCAATGCGTCTGCCACGTAACCATTGTTGGAGTTGTATTTCAGGAAAACTCCTGGCAAATACCGCTCAGCTGCGAAGCATTTTGGCTCATTTATTGGGGCATCGCCCTCAACTTTGTAGACAAAGCATGGCACAAAAAGGAGAGTCGCCAACTTTTCCCCACCAAGAGCTTGCAGGCGTCCATTGAAGCGTGCAGCAAAGTATCTGGCAACTGCAGTTGATTTGGCGTGCGCTTCCACAGCAAGCTGTGAGTTCAAGATCTCATTCGAGTAGCGTGAGCACTTTGCAACCATCCAGCTGCCATTCTTCGCAACTTCCTCATCTTGAAAGCCATACACGAGTCGCATCCCTCCTCGCATGTACGGCATCCGCCGCCGCACAACAGGACCAGCAGCGAATTCTTGCCTGTGAAAGGCCGCGCCATCATAGCCTGAATTGGTCTCGTTAAAACTCTGACATTTGATGGAGCAATTTCGCAAATTTGCTCTACTGCGAACGTAAACTTCTGCAACTTTCAAGTCCTGAAATGTCCTGAAGGTTCAGCATCAGCATCATGAGTCTTTCTTCAAGTTGCTTGTGTGGACACACACACACACACACACACTACATGTACACAACACAGCAAGGAGACTGAAGGAGATGCGGGCTGCATGGAACCGCAGCACGTGCTTCTTGCCGAAGATGCCCACCTCAGGGCCATCCGAAGATCAAAGTGTAAGAAAACAACACTCATAAAAAAAGAAAAAAAACTGTCATGAACTGTCCACCTTGTTGATCTTCCGATGCTTGAAGGCCCTTGAAAACTATTCGCAACACGTTTTGTGTAATTCTGACTTTTACTCCAAAGGGTGAAAACAACTCTGGCGCTCTTTCTCCCTCCCCTAAGCTGCGCATGTACAAAGGAAATCACAGGGGGAGGAGCCGGGAATGGATATCATAACATTTTCCAACATTATTGTACTTTTTTGGATCAAGAATCATTCGCATAATTATTCATGGCCGCAGTATTCGTAGAATTACATGAGTTGCATAGTGAAAGAAACATAGGCAGTGTACAATCAGTAATTAAGTATGTATGTATTGTATGTTACCTTCGACCAGTTACAGCTTACGCTTTGCAAACCTGATCATCCTCACAGTGCACACACGCCTCCGGCAACTCGAAGTCAACCACTTTCAGCTGAGGCGTTTTGGTTGTGTCCACTGCCTTGAGGGAACCAAGAACACTGAGCTGTGAGCTTTGAGGCACTATAGATTGTTAGATCATCTCATGCTTCGTCAGTCAAAGTTGCAAAGACAAATGGAAAAGGACCAGGACAAGAAACAAAACAGATCACAAGTATTCACGAGTTGTCTATTCTCCGAGCCGTTGGACAAAACTAGCTTGTCCACAGTGTCACGGACTTCCAAACCTCGGCGAGGACCCACTTGTTGCTACTAGCTGTGATCGTAGAAGACACAGAGGAGAACGCGTTGCAAAGTCCTCTGACTGTGCTCCCAGAGAGCACAAACGTACCGCCCGTCAAGCAGGCCAACTGCTGCAGCGCCGCAAAGCTCTCCACGCGGTTGCCGAATCCAATGCCATGCAGCTGGACACCGGCAAACTGTCCCCGAATGAATTGGTCTTGGAAGTACTGCAAGGCCTGAAATGTTGTCGAAGACCCAATCATGTTCAATTGTTGAGATGGTTTACATGTCAAATGGAGGTCCAGCCTGTTTTGTATCTGCTGGCCGGCCGTCAGATAAAAGAACAACTTCTCCTTGCAACTCCGGAGATGCTTTGAGAAGACGTGCTGCTTCACTGAGGCCTTGCACATAAAAGGTTCCATTTGCAGCTCGATCCTCAAAAGCCATATGCGCCATCTCGGCTGAGGATATTCGGTTGGCCACAACAGAAGCTTTTTCGTGAAAGGTCACCACTGAGAATACATCGTGCGGCCGGGCTTGGGCATGCTCCCGGGCAAATTTGGTGGAACAAAGCTCAGCAGCATCTAATCTGCTCAGGTTAACTTGCTCCTTACCAAGCTCCTGCCAGTGGCATGATGCGCAACGCAGCACTTCTCCCTACATTTGCAGCCGTTCATTCGGTTGAAATTTGCTTCAAGAAATCGTTTTGTTGAGCAATACAAGTGCGGGCTGGTTATGTGTAAAGCGAGCATTACAGCTTGCACAGTAGCAGTCCTTGCTAGTTTCCGTATCCAAATCGACATCCTCATTGCGCATGCTCCCAGAAGCATCCACCAGCAAAACCACATGCCTCCTTCTTGAGTATGGTTCCAAAGCCTTGGGTGCCTTGTCGGGTAAGTCACCTAGGACAAGTGCCTTCCGCTGGAAGACAAATGGCGAGTGAGAGCAAACATGCAAGTCAGGTGAAGGTGAAAGAGGTGACTTGGAGATAAACCCAGTGGCAAACAACGTCATCCTCATCTTCACTGTCAGTCTCCAATGTGCTGAGTACCTTCACCTCAGTTGTGCATTGAACTGGACACGGCCAGCCAAAAGCTCAAAGGCAGTCTCTGCCGAAGAGCATCTCTTGTCAAGAGCAACGGTCCCTCGTGGTGCCTCTAAGAGCAGCACTGCTTCCCACTTGGCCGCACTACTGATGGATGATGTACCTGTCCGACGGGAGGGGTGCCAAGAAATCAATGGACACGAGTCCTAAGTGATAAAATCGAGAGTCTTCACGTGGAAAGGGATTATTCATTTTCCGACCAGGCGCAACAGTCTGCACTCTCATCGATGATCAATTTCTGCAACGCAGCGTGCGAGGGGCCAGCTTTCTCCTCAAGTCCAGTCGAGGCCAGTCACGATCATTCCCTCCTTTGGAGGGAGGCTTGAACAAACATGACCCGTAATTACTGTAATCAAGTTCAAATTCAGAATCCAACCTTCACTCTTCTTCAATGGTCACAGAACTTTCTGTCCAAGTTTCCTTCACCTGCCTCTTGTGGCGGCAAACACGGCAGTTCCAAGCCCCTTTGAAATCGATGCCCTTGGGATCGTGATGACCACACAAATGGCAGGCCAAGGCCTGGGGCCACGGCTGCGCTAAGGACGCTCTCCTACAAACAACGCAATTTTTACTTTTTGGCGACCTCCCCCTAATAGCAATGGCCTCCAACCTACGATGATCTATTTATTAGCATCCAAGAAAATAATTTGATGGTTGTGCTTTTCATGTTTGTGCGGTCTCCAACAACTTTGGGGGGGCTTCAGTTTCCTGGAAACAATTACACTTGACTGACACAGTGCTTGCGGCCGACTTTGCTTGCTTCGAAACTTCATCGTGCATATTCAACATTCATAGTAGGATATATATAATTAGTATATAGTCTCCTGCAGGCACCCGGTCATGTCCTTTCATTGCTGACAAGCGAGCATGTCAAACACATACGTAATATATAATTTGGTACAATACTGCCCTGATCAACTTTTGAGCCTTCAGTATGAACCTTCAACGGTTTGTCTCATTTGACTCTCCGTAGATACGACCACACAACAGAAATCGACAATTTTTTATACTATTATATATACAGTATATATATATATTGATCTTGCAAGAGAACTCGCCAAATGTATCCAAACAGCGACAACAAGGTGAATGACAAGGCACCTTCCAGCAATCTGGACAGTAAAAGCAGCAATCATCTAATGTCCAAGTGGAGGGCATCTTGGACACGCGCTTTCCACAATTTTTGCATGTGATGGCCTTCATGGCAAATATCAGAAGCGTGGCCCTAGGAAGACTGGTGAGCCAACAACTGCCTGGAAACAACTTTAAAGCTTTGATACATCTCAGATCGCAGGACACGTAGTAGTGAAATGGTCGTACCTAAACCTTTACTTCGCTCATGTCAGGCGACGAGTCTACGGCTTTTTCTTCCAAATCCAAATCCACCATGGTTGCGTTCACGGCCAGCATGATCTGGTCTTTGACCTGTGTTTCGAGGTCCCCGGCCAAAAGCACGCTAACAGTTGCTATTCGCACTCTGGTGTTTTGACATTTGGGAAGTTATAGTGAAATTCTGGGTGGCCTTTCGTTGGAAACTCATGGAACTCGGCTTCAACATGCCACTTGCTATTTGGCGGGTAGTTCAAGAATATCCCATGGCCACACAGTGATTCCAACGACAAGCAGGATGTGCAAAAATACGCAACAAAAGGATATCATGTTTACATTGTAGCATGTAGCAAGATTTAAGAAGTCATAAGAAGTCTGCTTAGTGCGGGAAGCCTGGGTGAAATTGGGTGAAATTGAATGCCTCTGGTGACTTGAAGCATAATTCTCATCATGTATGATCAGTTGAAGCTGGCTTCACACTCTGTAGACATTGCAAGTCACGCAGAAATGCATCTTGCTTTGCAACAGGCCTTTTTGCTCTGTTACATGACCTCGCACGAATTATGCCCATTGTTCCGACAGCCACCAAGGTTCCGACAGCCACCTCCTTGAGCGGCCCCATCCTTGTTAGCTGGCGCAGGCTGAGAAACGGTCTCAAATCCAGTGTACGGTTTCCTACTTGCCAGCTTCCTGAAGGATCCTTAAGGCACTACTTACAATGGTCAATGGATATTTACTAGTTGTCAGTGTCATTGCTGTTGCTGTCGTGTCATGTGCTCCACATAGGCTTTCCTAAAGGAGAGAGATTTCGAGCTCACCGCAGTCTACTCTCAGGCTCTTAGGTATCAACTCCGAAAACATCTCTCAATTCTCTTACTGACTTCAACATCTATGGCTGTCTTTTCATGAGTGAATGATCCTGGTTTGCTGCAGGAGTGCCCTTTTGCTTGCAGGCCTACTACAGGAACTCCTTCATCGATCTATACAAATGATGAACGAAAATGTGCCACCAAGTACAAGAGTACCTCTTGTTCACTGATCTGGAATACTCCAAGTTTAAAAGTGGATCCCACTAGATCAATCTGTTGCGCGCGGAACCAACCCTATAGGACGCGCACGGCAGTCGACAAGCCAAGCTCACAGTGTCACAGGACTTGGGGGTAGGCCCGCCATCAAACTAGCCAGATTGACTGGTATCTGTTCCAGAGCTGCGCTTTCATTGGGAATCCACAGCAGCAACTGTTGAACTGAGTGTAAGACACCTCTTCCAATGTTTAACATATTTGACAATGCAGCACCAGCCTGCTAGATTCTCGAACAGGGTTGGTCTTTCTTCCGATTCTATGCCGTCTGAGAAACTGCTTCTTCATCACCAACAGGCCGCCAATTGGAATCCACCATTGTAGTTAACAGTCCAGTGAGTTCTTCCTGGGTGTTGCGATGACGCAAGATCAAAAAAGGTAAGGAGTGGCGCTTTCTAGCATGGTGACTCAGTGACTCTCATCATATACTGATACTACATTGTGCAAGCTACTGTTGTGAGTCTACCATTTTCTCATATATACTTGTTCTTTCTTTTTTTGGGTCACTTTGGCTTGCTCTGGTTTGAGGGCATTGCACAAAATCAATGTGTTATTTGATCAATTGTTTGCTTGATCCAATCCATAGATTTAGTGAACATCATCGCTATACTCATAAATGGCCAAGAATAATGTTCATTCATGTGCACAAGCAAATGCCTCCCAAGAGTCCGGGTTGTAGTAAACATCTAGGCCCGAGATCAGAAGTTCAGCATTAACCTGCCAGCCACAAAGTCCGGTCTTCAGTTGGTCTTCAGGCAAGTGAGAGGTGAGGTGGACGAGGTAGGGGAATGGCTGACATTGACATTGCGACGGGCGTACCATCATACTACCTCTCTTTGGCCGTGCACAGATTCCAGCCGATGCGCAGTCCACCGAATCTGTCGTCCTACAACTCTTCTTTCTCGCAAAAGTACATATTTGTCAGCATCTGAGATTGTGCACACACGCCTTTGCAATGCACATGCCGACGATGCCTTACACACGTGTTTTCCGTGGAAATCGGGCTAAACATATGCCAAAAAAGAGCTGTACTGAGAAAACAGCGCTGACAGCGGATTTCGACCAAGAAATAGCAACCGCAAGTAATGCACTCTCCCACTTGTTTGACATAGTCCTTTCAGATAAGTTGCTGAGCATCTTTCCATTGCCTTTGTACTTTTTCCCAGATTTGTCAGTGAAAACGCCAGTGTACTTCCCAAAGTGTCTCCATTTGAAGACCACCTTGGATTCCAGCAAATATGGTGGGCGCTCACTGCTCTGTGGATTAAGCAAAGCTCTGGATTCTGCAAAACATAATTGTAAAATCGCAACTTGACAGCAGGTTAACACACTCGCGTGGGACACGAAACAGCCAGTCTCATGAGGGCTGATAAGGTTTTGCAAGCGAGAAGCAGTTGGAGGCCCAGAGAACACCTTCAGAGTGTAAAGCAAGCTTGTCTACAACTGCAACCGTTCATAGTGACCGACAATCAAGAGCATCGTGCGCTTACAACTTCAGCACATTTTCTCAGTTTTCTCTCCACGTAATATGTACGCCCAGTGTCAATTGAAGAATTGAAGTGGTCTTGAACAGGGAGAGTGCAATACAAACAAAACAGTTTGGATCTACCATGGAAGGTCCCGACTTGACCATGAAGTAAATTGTGGTAGTCCGTACTGTTGAGTGTTCATCATTTCTTGAACTCCAAGCACATCCTATTAGCCTAATTTAGTGCAAACAAGAGCACCTTGGCCGGAACTGCTGTCCTGACTTATCTGCCCAACAAGCAAGTGTGACTGTGCCTCAAGGCATTCCCAGGCGAAGCCCATCGGGAATGCAGTGCGGAAGATCTGCCCAACGCTCGCACAGGATTTGCATCTCGACAACACACAGGTTGTGTCTATCTTCCAGAAGGGTTCAAAAGGCCAGGAACTTTGATAAGGGCAACTTCAACCTGCTAGCCTTATTGCCTCTATTGTTACTGCCTGGCGTACATGTGTTCCATGAATGAGCTGGTTCCAGAGTAGGAATTGGAAAGGACTGCCCAAGCTGAAAAGGACTGGCCTCGAAACAACGCACAATTTCACGTTTTCAGCTCTGTTGAAATGTTCAATGGAACATGTTTCTTATGCATCTTTGGCCCGGCTGCCCAGGCCCAGCACATACTTGGCTTTTTTCTAGTACTGACCGGGTAGACCAGGCAGAGTATATTTCAGTTCAATCATCTTTAATCTGTTTCGACTTGAAGTTCCTGGTGCTCCCTTTGGAAGTTTCCTGTGCTCCGGAGGCTGGCGCCTTCTGAGCTGTCTCAAAGCTATGTATGCCTCAGTAAGCAAAGATCCGTTGCAAAACGGCCCAAACTTTCTGGCTTTCAAAGGCTTTGACAGCCCCTTCTCTACACGGAGAAAGGAACAAACGCACAGTTTGAGCTCTGGTGCGGCAATTGTATTCTCTTGTCTGACCCAGGAACCTCGGTGCATGGCTTGAAGGCGGACGAAATACACAACGGTTGGGACAATAGGGGGCTTGTTTCGTGTTGTAATTCAAATTGAACATTTGATACACATAGGAGATCATAGGAATCATAGGGGGATGATTTCAACTAATATGGTGCTGGTGTCACACTTGGGTGAAGGAAACCTAAGCTGGGAGTCCCAGTCCGAGTGGACCAAAAACAAAGAATCATGTATCATTTATAAAATAATGTGTCGCCTTGCAGTTGCCTCGAAGCAAGCTACCATACCTGCACAGCACATGCTACCCTGGCTGTTCCGTTCAGTGTAAGTTTCAAAGCGGGGTGGCCAGTACTGACAGAGTGTGCAAGGTGGCACCTAGGGCCTAGGGTTTGTGCCTGTGCTGCCAAGATGTTGCGATTGGCAAGTAGTAAGGACAGTAGCGATGCCAGGAGCCCCTAGTAGCTTCTTGCTCCTAGTAGTAAGGCCAGGAGCCCCTAGTAGCATCCTTGCTCCTGGAGTGGTTTGGATTTTTGGGTCGCATGACATGAATCAGGACACAACGAGGTGAATCAAAGCGCAGCAGTCTATATGAAATATGACCCTGAGTAACCGCCATTGGCGATTGCAGGCAATGTGTTGCATTCTGTCGTCCTTTTTTTTGCTCATCATGCTTGACGACACAACAGCTTCACCAGTCAATTTTTGGGTTACGGTATGAGTTATGCAATGTAGCGTTTCCACACACATTCTTGTTATATAATCAATAACTCCGATTTATTCTAACTTTACACTCCTGCACCGCAAAACACCAGCGGGTGGGATCTTGACTTCCCTGACCATCAGCTTAAAAATTTGTCTCGATGTGCGAATCATGCAGCCAAGCGGCAAGTTGCACGATCCCAAGTCTGACATTTGTTGGGCAAGGAACGGGCATGCTCCATTTAAAGCAGCCTCGCAGTGAACCAGCACAGCTTGGGAATGTGAAAAGAGTCAATCAGCAAGCTCCCTCACGTCTTTTTCGATCAGTTCCCCATGTGCCTACCGTGCAGCATCCCTCAAAGCTTGTATCTCTTGGATAAAGCCTACCTGAAACTTGGAGATGTCCATAGTCTTCCATAAATGAACGTCTGCAACGTGATGGGCTTCCACCGCCTCAGTATCTCCAAGAAGTGCCTATACGCACTATGCACTAACCACATTATGAATGTCCCAACAGTCACCAAGTTGCCAACTGCAAACAACATCGAGGCTTCAAATACCAGCCACATACAGCTTCAAAAGAAATGACAGCTACAATTTTGAAGTGTGCCAAGAGTCCCAGTTCTTTATCAGTTTGCTGACCACCGCTTCCAGTGAGCCTACTTCGTGCTCCAGCGATCGATGGTCGAAGAAGGTCCGATTTACCTGCAGAAGACTCCATTTCTTGGCACGCTGCGACTTGGCAATTTGTAGTAAAGCTTTGGGGACATTGCAAAAGTGCCGGCTTACGCCCTGATTTAGAGCCCCGAGCAATCTGTTGAACCTGCTCAAGAGTCTTAATTTAAACTCTACTCTATCAATGTGGTTTGAAGAATGTTGGAGAAAAAGGTAAAAAGCAATGCCCAACATCAAATAACACTCAGCGTCTTTTCCGCCAAGATGCTAGAAAGTAGTCCGGTCTCCCATTTCGCCACGTCGCGTTGGGATCCGGAGTGTAGTCTCGAATGACCTAGATCAGCTGAGTCTGAGGCTTTCCAACACCTTTGGTATTGAAAAAAGGTAGTAAACGATACTCAAAAAGGAAAGCCTTACCTCCTTTAAAGGGGCCTCACCGACTTACTGCCTTACCTTCTTGCTTTTCATAATATCATAAAATCATTTAACTATACCAACTAGACCTTTCTTTACAACTTCGATGGCGACATTATGCGACATTGCTACACTTTGCTGGTGGCCTACTCTGCGCAAATGCTTGGCCATTGCTTTGATACAGTGCAAAGCCGTGCAATTTAGGCTCTCTGGTGCAGATGTAATCATCATCCGTAAAGATCATAAAGCATCATAAAGCTTCATATTCCAATACATCCAACACAAAATAAGCAATCATTCATCAAGAAAAAGGAAGGAGAACAGAAGCGATTTGTAGAATTCAGGCAACATAAGCTCTTCAGATTGCCCAAAACAACTGCCATCCTTCTGCTCTGCCTCACCAAACGCTTGGCCAGTGGATTCTGGCGAGAGCTCCTTGCCCTGTGCGAACCCAAGATTGCAGGATGTATGAGCGGAGTGGACATCTCAACTAAGGGTAAACATTGGACAGGTGTGAGTATATACAATCGACTGTCATCGACAATCTGTATCTGTGAAAATTCACAACCACGTGCAAAGAACACGTGCACACACACACTCAATCTGTCTCGACCAAGTACATGAACAATCATAAACACACAGTCACAGTGAAGACCGCAAATAGCAACCAATCTTGATCGCTGGAGATATTTTGGCAAATATGAACCCTACCTCGTCACTTCCATCTGCCATATCAGTCACCTGAGAGAGCCAAGTTGAACCATTACAATAGACTGAGCGTATATCTACAAAATTGTATGTATGCACAAACACATTATCCAACATTGCATTGCATTCAATGTTGAATTGGCAGTCTTGAAGCTGAACAAACTCCTCTACCAAATCGGTAGCTCTACCTCCTCCATGCACTGGCTGCGCAATCCTAGATATAGTTACGAAACAAAAAATGTCACAAGCGGCACAAGTTACTATATATATAGATCGAAATGTTGGACATACTCACATACTCTCAGGCTTTTTGTATTGAACATTAAGACACATATGCTCTCTCCGCCTTCCTCCTATCTGTCAAGGCACTCATTGTGCAGTACTTCGGTCATGATTCAGTGAATAAAACAAAGAATATCGACAAATATATTACAATAGGTTAGTCTTGAATATAACTTGCACACCTGAAATCACCCCCCATAACTGAAGTGTCAATTTGCTCAACTGGAACTCCTGCTCAAGCAGCTTTGTTGAAGCCTGCACCTTGTCAAAGGAAGTTTAGGGTGCAAAATGTCCGTGTTGCGGACTTTCAACAGCTCTAGCTCTAGTTAGCTCTAGACTCTAGTTCCAGTCAGCTCTTTAGTCAGCTCTAGTTCCAGTCAACTCTCTAGTCAGCTTTAAAGCTCCAGGTGGATCTCGCTCTAGTTAGCTCTAGCTCCACTCTTCAACATGCATTTTGAAAGGAAGTCTCGTGCGTTTTTGAATTGCGGACGCACAAAATGTTGTGTTTTTTCAATACAAAGGGTGGCTCCGAACCTAGCAAGGCAAGCTCTGCGGAACGACGGTTGCGGGACCGTCTCTTGCGTCATGCTCGGATCATGGATGGTTTCCGCACTGTAAATGTGACTGCAAGTGTTGTTGGTGGATGAGTTGTCGCTGCAATTTCTTTGTGTTTTGCAACTTCAGGATCGTTCCAACAATGTAAATGGCACTTTCATGTCTGGTTGGATCATGTCTTCCAATTACATGTTTTAGGAAATCTCGCAGAATTGCTTCGTTTTGTAGGTGTTCAACATGCGTTTTGGAAGGAGGTCTGCTACAAATTGCGTTTTTGAGAGATATCGGACGCACGAAATGTTGTGTTTTTCAATACAAAGGATGGCTCCGAACCTGGCAAGTCAAGCTCTGCGGAACGACGGTTGCGGGACGGTCTCGCGTCATGCTCGGATCATGTTGGAATCGTCCCTCCATTGTAACTAGAGCTTTCACCTGTTTCTTGTGTACGTGCTGTTGATGGAAGTCCATTGCGTTTTGCAACTCCTGGATGGTTTCCGCACTGTAAATGTGCATGCAAGTGTTGCTGGTGGAGGAGTTGTCGCTGGAATTTCATTGTTTTGCAACTTCAGGATCGCTCCCGCAATGTAAATGGCACTTTCATGTCTGGTTGGATCATGTCTTCCAACTACAATTTTAAAGGAAATCTCGCAGAATTGCTTCGCTGTTCAACATGCATTTTGGAAGGAAGTCTCAAAAACTGTCTGAACAATCGTGATCATAGCCAGCAGTCATGTTGCGTTACAACTCCAACGTCTTCGAA